TTATTTAATTGATAATTAAATTATACTTAATTAAATTGTTTAATTGATTAAAATTTTATAATTACATTGATTAATTGATTGGTTAGTAAATCATATATTTACACAATAATTTAATTGATAAGTAAATTGTAATTAATATATTTAATTACTTAATTACAATAATTATGATTATACTACTTAATTGATTATACTATTTAATTGATTTGTAAATTATGAAGATATTATTTAATTGATTGATAAATTCTGATTATAGTGATTACTCGATTGCTTAATAAAGTACAATTATATGTTTTAATTGATTAAAAATTACTTAGTTGACACTATTTATTAAAATTACTTTCAGTGACTATAATTGCTTGATTACTAAATTATAGTATGTTACAATGCTTATAATTGATTGATTAATATATCTTAACTACATATTTATACTCCCCTAAACTATGATTAATTTAATTAATTACTTCATCATAAAATTTTGATTTCATTATTTACTTGATTGATAAATATTGATTATTTTAATTAATTGATTTATATGTAACTTATTATTATTAAAGTAGATGTCTTATTTATTGTGTGCGGAGATGAATTTTTTAATATAAATTTAAGGAAATATTTCACATGATGGGAGATCGAGGTTGGATGTATTATCGTTTAGATGATAATGGCTGTTATACTAATGAATTCAAAATTGGTGTGGAATTATTCCTGGATTATGCATTTTCCCAATCCAATCCAGAGTTTTGTAGTAGAAATCAGATTAGGTGTCCCTACAGTAAATGTATGAACCAAGAATGACATCGTCGTGTTACTGTGCGCTGTCATTTGATAAAAAAAGGTTTTATGAACGGGTATATAGTTTGGCTTGGACACAGAGAGTAGCCAGTGCGAAGGCGACAACGTCATTAGTGGGGGGAATCCTTTATTGCAGCTCTCTTTGTTATGGAAGAACAAGGTAATGATCCAATTAGAGATATGGTTATGGATGCAAATTTACATGGTATAAAATATAATATGAATGAACAAGCCAATGAGGAGCCAATCTTTGAGGAGGCAATGGGTGATGCAAAGGAATTTTTTGATCTTTTACAAGCTGCTAACATGCTACTTTATGATGGATGTGATGATGGTGATACAATACTAAAATGGATGTCTCATTTTATGAATGCAAAGACACTTTACAATATGAGTGTGGTTAATTGGGATTATATGTTAAAGTGTACCAAGAGATGGATGAAGCTAGAGGATTGGGATAGAATTCCAAAAGATTTTTAAAATGCTAAAAAGATGATGAGGCACTTCAGTCTGGGTTATAAGAAGTATGATATGTGTGTCAATAACTGCTTCTTGTATTATGGTGAATTTGAAAACAAAAACTACATCGCATGTCCAATATGTGGTGAACCTCATTATAAACAGGGACATGTGCAACAAAATCAACATATACCAAGGAAGTCATTGTGGTATCTCCTGATTACACCTAAACTCAAAAGGTTGTACATGTGTAGAAAAACTGCTGAACACATAATATGACACTTGAATTGTAGTGGTATATCTAAAAAGACTGTGCATCCTACCGATGCTGAGGCATGGAAATACTTTGATCACACTTACCCTGACTTTGCATCAAATCCAAGGAATGTAAGGCTTGGATTGTGCAAAGATGGGTTCACTCAATTTGGACATACATCAGCCCCGTATTCATGTTGGCCTGTATTTTTTACTGTCTACAACTTACCTCCATCAATGTGTATGAAACTAGAGTCCATCTTTCTTTCTCAGATCATACAAGGTCCTCAAAGTCCTGGAAAAAACATTGATATTATGCTACAATCACTGATTGATGAATTAAAGGAACTTTGGTATAATGAGGTGAAGACATATGATAGTTTAGGCATGAACATTTCATTATGAAAGCAGCACTTATGTGGACAATTACTGACTTCCTTGGATATGGTATGTTATCTGGATGGAGCACACATGATAGATTATTATGTCCGTATTGTAAAGAAGATGCTAAGGCATTCCACCTTCCAAATGGTCAAAAAATATATTTTTTTTATTGTCACCGACAGTTTTTACCTCCCGATCATCCATTCAGGAGAAATAAGAATGATTTTAAAAAAGGCCATGCAGAGAATCTTGCTCCACCAGACAGATTGTTTGGTGATGATATGCATTGACAAATTTAGCAATTGCCCGACATACTATTTGGGAAACCATCACAAAGGCAAGTAATCGAAGGATTTGGTCATTGGTATAACTGGGTTAAAAGGAGTATCTTTTGGGAGTTTCCTTATTGGAGCACAAATTTAATCGGTCATAACCTTGATGTAATGCACTGCGAGAAAATTTTTTTTGATAATATCTTTCATACCGTCATGGATGACCCATTGACGAAGGACAACTTGAAGGCAAGGATAGATATGGAATTGTATTGTAATAGGCCAAGTTTTTGTATACCAAAAATAGGCTCTAATGCGGGTAGAAAACCAAATGCCACTTATGTCTTAAACAGGGAGCAAAGAAAATTTGTGTTAATGGCTAAAGAATCTTAGATTTCCTGATGGTTTTGCATCCAACATCTCTCGGTGTGTGAATATGCAAAAGGTGAAAGTTAGTGGGATGAAGAGTCATGATTGTCACATATTCATGCAAAGTCTCCTTCCAATTGCATTCCATGATTTTCTCCCAAAGCAAGTTTGGGAAACACTTACTGAGATTAGTGAGTTTTTTAGAGCCTTATGTTCTCCAATCATTTGGGTTACAGATATGGAGATTTGGCATGGCAAGATTGTGTTGACTCAATGCACTTTAAGAAGGGGGTGAATTGGAGTTGGAGAATTTTCGCCTCTTTGCAACCACCAAACAAAAATTAAAGAGAGAATGGAGAAGAAGAGCTTGCACAATGATTTTATAGAGGTTCGGTCCAACCACTTGGAGCCTAGTCCTCTACCTTGGCTTC